AAGTTAAGAGTGCCTTCTAAAGGGCCAGGTTTGCACTGTCTTTTACAGTGGGAAATGCAGTGATAGGGACTGGAGAGCACATACTGCGTAGTAGAGGACCCGAATTTGTTCCCCAAACCCATGTGGGCAGCTCTAGGGGGTTTGATGTCCTATTCTGGCCTCCTCAGGCATGTACACATACTCACACACAATTTAAAAATAAAAGTAAATGTTTAGCAGGCTGGCGGTGGTGACACACACCTTTAATCCCAGCACTCGAGAGGCAGAGGCAGGGGCAGGTGGATCTCTGAGTTCGAGGCCAGCCTGATTGACAGAGCGAGTTCATGACAGCCAGGGCTACACAAAGACACCCTGTCTCAAAACAACAAAATCAACAAAAACTAAACAAATAAATCCATGTTTAAATGAAAGCTTGTCAAGTATAGACTCTGCTTTCTGTCCTGTCTCTTCCTCTTTCTGTCTTTTTCTCCTTGTCCTTGGGGGGGTGGTCTCATTTTGTAGTCCAAGCTGATTTTAAACTTGTAATGACTTCACTGTACTGAGTGCTAGGGTTATAGACATGAGCTACCACATCCAGCCTATCCTGTTTTTGTTATTCTGTTCATTTTTCTTTTTTTCTCTTTGGTTTTTTTGAGGCGGAGTTTCTCTGTAGCCTTGGCTGGTCTGGAACTCGCTCTGTAGATGAGGCTGGCTTCGAACTTAAGACATCCCCCATCTCTGCCTCCTGAGTACTGGGATTAAGGGTGTGCACCACTACCACTACCACCACCACTGGGAGATGCTCATTTTTCTTCTGTGTGTTGTTTTTCTCCCTCTACTAGGTGGGTTCCAGAGATGAACTCGGGGTGTCAGGCGACAGCAAGGGTCTTGACCTGCTGAGCTGTCTTGCCACCCCTGTTCTCATATGGGTGCACAATTCTTACTTTATAAATGAGGTTTTTGTTTGTTTTGCTTATATTTGAGACAAAAGCTCTCTATTTAGTCCTGGATGTAAGTTGTGTGTTTTGAATTTACATTTGATGGGGAAATAAAGCATTTCAGATAGAAACATTTATTTCTTGAACATGAGTATTCATGAGAAAAAAAAATGTGTTTGGAGTTGAAAGATTTGAGGAAATGTTGATGAAGGGAAAGGTTTACAAGTACAAACTGCACTAGGAGGTCTCTGCTAACTGCAGATGAATGAACTCATTTATGTACTTGAGCATGGCCTTGGGGAACATGGGCTTGATAAATGCAGAGAGAGATGTCCTTTGATTTGGTAATTTTCCTCAGATGGGTCTTGCTAACCCATGAATCAGAACCTGTCTGTCAGGATGGTGTGACGTTTATTGTATATTTGTCTCTATGAGATAGAGTCAGTGCTGCAAGGGCCAAGTCGGGGAGATCGTCAGAACTGTGTTGGTTCACTGGCACGGTGGGTTGCTTTTCCCTGCAGGTTGGCGAGGAGGAGGAGCAGCACTAGAAAAGAGCTGAGGGTTCTGAGTTGGGGAGGGAAAGGCAGCAGGGTATTTGTTGGACTGAGGAAGATATATTTGGGCTTTACCTAAACTCTTAAGTCCTCAGATCTGAATAAAAACGAAGCTCGTATGGAGTCAGATAATTTGTCAGGACCTTTTCCTGGCTCATTCTTCTCTCATCTTTCAGCTTAAAAGGTGAATTCAGACTCTGAATCAAAATAAAAACTACAGAATGGGGTGCCCCCCCACCCCCAACATGGTAGGAGGATCTTGTAGTTCAAGGTCATCCTAAGGTACTTAGGGAGTACAATACCAGCCTAGGCTACACAAGACCTTTTCAAGAAAACCCACTGAGCTGGAGAGGGGCTTCAGTAGGTAAGGACACTTACTTCATGTGCGAACCTCATGATCTGACTCCCAGAACCCATGGAAAATGGAAGAGAACTGATTTTACAAAGGTGACCTCTGACCTCCTCAGGTGTCCCCCATCATATTCACATAATAATAACAATGTAATAATTAAAATACACAAAAAAATGCTGGCTCACCATATTCCAGATGCACATGAGTTTTGTAAGGTACATGGTCCCCAGGTTTGTGCTCGCAATAATGGCCGTTTCACCTCTGGTGTATTGTGTTTTGAGCGTGCTTAGGTGCTCTCTCAGTGTGGAATTGAAAATTGAAAATTTTTTATTCATTTTATTTTATTTATTTATTTAGGTTTGAGGCAGGGTTTCTCTGTGTAGCCCTGGCTGTCCTGAAGTTTACTCTATAGATCAGGCTAACCTCGAACTCAGAGATCCCCCTGCCTCTTCCTTCCAAGCCAAAGGCAATTTCTTGTGTTTCTGTACTTCTCTTGATTATCTTTGGTTTGGCCCCTGGTTTTGGAATACTCAGAGACGTAGTGTGGCCTATGGAATATAAATTCTTGGGATTCAAACAAACAAATAAAAAAATCAAAATTTAAACAAAAAAATCTAACCTAGAAGAACCTCACAGGAATGCAATTCAAAAATGAAAACAAAAGCCTGGTATGGTGGCCTGTGCCTTAGTTTGCAGCAGGGGAATCGCTGAGTGAGAAGGAGCCAGGTCCAAATAGGGAGTTCCAGGAACACAGAGAAACCCGACTCAAGACAAACCAAAAAGCCAGACCTTCTGCTTTCTCCAGTATTGTTTATGAAGAGCCAACATATATTCCTGAGAGGACTTAAATGCAGCGTAGTTATTTATCTGCTTTGTGTTTCCTCTTTTACTGTCTTTTCTATTACACCCAACTAGAGTGTAGATTCACCAGTCATTGAATCTCAGCACACTTCTCCCTACTCAGCTGCAGCCTGGATCTTTAAAAAGCCTTAAGAGAATGACCAGCTCCCACTCACAGTAAGCTGAAGTACTCTCCCCAGTTACTGGGCAGACGTGAACCTCAGCTGCTTGGGAAATACCCAGAGCCTCTCTGTAGACGGCTGTTGTTGTCACCTGTCTTATTTTAAAACTTTTTTGGGTGCTGAAGAAATTGTTCAGCAATCAAGAGCACTGGCTGCATGTCCAGGGGAGTGGTTCAGCCCTGCATGGTGGTTCACAGGCAGCTGTAGCTCTGGTTCAGGGAATCCAACGCCCTCTGCAGAACTCTGGTCACTGGGCATACATGTGATGACAGACACATGCTCAGGGGTTATGTTAGTTATATATTGTCTAGAGTTTTCTGTGACTTACTGGATAGTTCAGGCAAGCCCTTGACTGTCGTAGCAAATTTCTGAAATATAATTCTGGCCCTGTTCTTTCCTTCCTTGCTTGCCATATATATTGGAACTTGTGAGTAGTGGACAACAAGTAGTTCAGATATCTTTACCAACTTATTTTCTGTAGGATCTCCTCAGTGAAATATTTTTCTCTTATCTGCACTGCCAATATTTCTTGAGTAAAGGAATTTGTTTTACGTGTATTTCTTTTAAAATAAAAAAGTTGTTTTATTTAAATGTATGAGTTTGTGTATATATGGAGGCCAAAGGTCAACCTTGGCTGTTATTCAGGTACTGCATGATGTGTGTGTCTGTCTGTCTGACTGACTGTCTCACAGGACAACTTAGAGGAATTGGTTCTCTCCTACCATGTGGGTGTCAAGAATCATTCTCAGATGGTCAGGCTTGCCAGCAAGGGCTTTTATTGGCGAAGCTGTCCAGCTAGCTCCACTGTGTTTTTTGAGGTAGTCTTTCATTGGCCTGGAGCTTGCTGAGTAGCTAGGCTGATGGCCAGTGAGCCCTAGAGATCTGTCTGCCTGTCTCTTTGTTCTCAGTGTTGGGAGGACAGACACACGGTTCCTTATCTGGTTCCTTACATGGTTGCTGGGGATTGAGTTGGTGTTCTTATGCTTATAGAGCAAGCACTTTACTGTGACTCAGCCATGTTAGCCTTTTAGTTTTTAAGACAGAGTCTTGCTGTATAGCTCATACTAGCCTAGAACTCACTGTTAGCCCAGGCTGGCCCTGAACTCACAATCTTACTGAGTCTTTCTCCTAAAAGCTGGTATTGTACTTATCACCATGCCTGAGTATTTCACTGTACTTAGTTGTTGTTTCCCTAAGACAGGGTTTCTCTGTGCTGCATGTCCTAGAACTCACTTTGTAGACCAGGCTGGCCTTGAACTCACTGAGATCTGCCTGCCTCTGTCTTCTGAGTGCTGGGATTAAAGGTGTGCGCCACCATTGCCTGGCTCTACTTAGGAGTTTTGAGGCCCTACTTAACATAAAAGTTTTAGTTATTCTCGGTATAACATGCTATGTGTTAACTGTATTCATCTCTTACTACTATAAGAAAACACTTGAGGCTGAGTAACTTGGTAATGAAACTTGCTTAGTTCACAGTTTTAGAGGCTGAAAGCCCAAACAGCAAGGGTCCCCCATCCCCTGGCTGCCATACATGATGGCAAGAGTGTTGCAGGATGAAAAGATCACATTTCCAAACAGGAAGTCCGAACATGGTGCAGAGGTTAGATTTGTTAGGATAATTTGTTTTCACAAGAATCCACTCGGACTTCTACAAGAACAACCTTAATCCTTTCTGAAGTAATAGTACCCGTGACTTAGCCAAGGCCTTTTAATGCCCACCTTTGAAGATCTCCCATCCCCACTACTGCCACACTAGGTAGTCCCCAGACTCAGAACACGTGAATCCTTGGGGTCATACTGAGCCTAAGCCATAGCACTGGGGTGTTTATTTTTATTTGTTTATTTGTTTATTTATTTATTTATTTATTTATTTATTTGAGTCCTGGCTGTCCTGGAATTTACTCTGTAGACCAGGCTGGCTTCAAACTCACAGAGATTCGCCTGCCTCTACCTCCCAAGTGCTGGGATTAAAGGCATGCGCCACCACTGCCCGGCTGGGTGTTTATTTTCTTATCTGTCTTTCGTATTTATGTGATCTTTGGTTCTTGATATATAAGGTTGACTTGCATATTGTAACTAATAAATTAGTTTTATTCCTATAAACTTTGTAAATTGAGACTAACTTGTTTCACCTGTTGCCTTTACCTGTTGACAGTCTGAGGATGATGAGAAGCTGAAAAAAAGGAAGGAGAGATTTGGGATTGTGACAAATTCAGCTGGAACTGGAACTACTGAGGATACAGAGGTAAACTATATTTAGAATGCTTCCTAGAGCTAATAATACAATCAAACAAACAAAAACCCCACCAGGATTGTGTGCAGACATGCATGCACATGTCCTCACATGTCAAGGCTTCTGTGGAGGTCAGAGGACAACTCTGGGGAGTCCTTCTTGATCTCCAGCTTACTCCAGACTGGCTGGCTGTGCCTGTTCTGGAGATTGAACCCAGGGTGTCCGGCTTGCTTGGCTAACACTCCCACTTGTTTCCCTCATCCTTCTAGAATTTTTTAATTTTTTAATTTTTTTGGTTTTTTTGTTTTTTTCTGAGACAGGGTTTCTTTGTGTAGCTCTGACTGTCCTGAAACTTGCTCTGTAAACTGGGCTGACCTTGAACTCCTGGAGATCTGCCTGCCTCTGCCTCTGCCTCTCTGGGATAAAAGGTGTGGACCACCACCACCCAGCTTTCCTCTGTTTTTTGAGATGGTCTCTCACTGAAACGAGCTCACCAATGGGTTAGGCTGCCTGGTCATTGAGCTCCAGAAATCTG